TAGTTTAAGAATTTCTATTGTCTGGTAAGAACCTTTGCCTAAATCTGAAGCTATTTTCGTGCGACTTTGGTCATCGATAATTCAATTACTGGCGTAAAGTGATAAAAGACCGTTGCAGAAAGAGCGACGGCAACCTCTTAAGATCGATTCCTTCTCCAATGTCGGTCGTCAGTCTCAATTACATTGTATCGCTCTTAATTTCAGCCGCTGATGTGTATAATCACTGTAATGCGATGTATCGGAATTCGCGATTGAAAAGGAATTCTTAATGGACTTACGCTTTATCACGTAATATTCCGAGTTTCGAATTATAGCTGCCGAAGCAATAAAAATGGTTGGTTTGTATATTTTTGAAAAAATTACTCGCATTTATGATGCCGCATTTTCTGAGATTATTCGTGATTTTTGTTGCAATATGTGAATAATTAAATTAATCAATTTACCTTTCCCCTTCACCTCTTTTTCGAAAATATATATGCATAGTATTCTTGAGTAGAAAATAATCGTCGGAAGTTCTAATGTCAAAAGAGCAGGTATAGATCAACCGTTGGCTAAATTCAAAAAGCCACTCAGCACGCTGGCTTGCTTTGAACATTGGACTTTAAAACGAACAGATAACTGTAGTGTTTCCTGTAGCATTTCAACTTTTACTACCTCATGGCGGTTGTATACGATCCGAAATGGTTAAAATACGTATAACACGTATACCTGCAGTTTCAGAATACGTTGTTTAGAAAGCGACCTTTATTCGGCCACACTAGATGTTTTTCAAATGGTTAAACCCTCCAGAAATTCTGCTACCTGCGAGAAAAAGAGACTTGAAACGGAAATTTACGATTCCTGACAAGTGCCTGTGTCTGTTCCCTTTGGAATAGCGTGCCAAATTCTATTTCATAGCCTTAACGGGATTATTTTATTGAATTAATAGATAAATAAGAAAAAAAGATATTTTTTAACTAAATTTTTTTTTCGAACAAGAAAGATAAAAAACATGGAATGACAAAAGTGAAAAATCGTGGCATGATTATGGATCAAAGAAAATCTTCAGCCTTTTTTTAGATGCAAAAAAACATAACACTTATAAATCATTTAAGTCACACTGCCAAGTAAGGGTCGATTTCTAAAGATGTTTAATATCTTCACGCCATGTATTATGAATTATGATACTCTGCTCCTAAAAAAAACTGACAATGAGTGAAAAACGAGCTACTGTAAAGCTTTGCACATGGTGTTTCAAGGAAGTTCCAATTCAAACACAGTTTCCCGTAAGGGTCGACTCTTTACAACTGTGCTCGAAAGATCGCCGCTTAACGATCGTACGTTCCTCTCGAGGACATCGGATCGCCGCCGTTGTTCCGCCGCGGGGACATAATTGTTCATAGAAAAAATACCGAGTGTTTATTATCGCTATATCTTTATCTCCGCTAACAAGGGACAATGTATACGCGCTGCGTGGCGCAGCGTCTCCCCGCCTACGTTGCGGCTATAAAGGGAAGAGCAATGGGTCGCTAACCAGGATTAATCAAGCCGCTGCAGACTGTCGGGCGCGCGATTCGCCCTTTAGCCGTCGTCCCGGTTAATAGACACGTCGCGGCACAAAGGCCGCGGCGCGAATTCGCGCCGGCAATTTTCGAATTTGCCGAACGAAAACGGAGCGGCCGGCTCCGGCCATTGTGATGGTAATGCCCGGCGTGACGACCAATCGTTCTGCTCGTCGGCCGCCGTGCGCATCCTTTAAAATTTAAATCGACCCGTCGAACGACCTCGGCACGATCGGTGAAAGAGAGAGAGAGAGAGAGAGAGAGAGACAAGAAAAAAAAGAAGATCGACCCGGACCCGGGCGTTCGACCTAATTCGACCGGTCCGCTGATAACGGTGACGTCACGGCGTGCTCTACTCACTAGTTACTAGTCACGGACCGTAGTACGTGACGAGCGCGGTGACGAGCGTGACGATAATAGTACTACACCATCGCGTACTACGTGTGTTACGCGTTAATGTTAACCCGCTGCCGCCGCCGCCGCCGCCGCCGCCGCCGCCGCCGCTCTCGTGACACGCTTTCGGCCGCGCGGCTCGCGCGCCGATTGACACCTTAACGCCACGGAGCTCGAGAGCCGTTGATAGCCACGCACCGCCGTGGATCTTATCTCGCATTATCTTCGAGCAAATGCGTAACGTTGCCGTAATACGGGATCACGCTAATTTGTCCGACCTATCCGCGCGCAACCCGACAATCATTTCGCAATGTCAGAAGTATAGAGTTTCAACTCAGATATCAGAGTCACTCTTAATTCTTCAGTATTTCCTCGTTTATTTATTTCGCACGTTTTCTGCACGCGAAATGTGCCGGAGATGTGGGAAAACAAGGTGTTCACGTGGAGAAGGAGAGAGAGAGAGAGAGAGAGAGAGAGAGAGAGAGAGAGAGAGAAGGCCAATGTGAAAAGGTGAAAATTAATGAACGCGAATTAAATTATCTCGAGAGAAAACCACGGAATATTTCCGTGTGCAGCCGGCTGCGATATTTCTGTCCCCCTCGAATTGGGCACTGCATGTGCGCGCGCGTGTCGCGTGTTCACATTGCGGAGAAGCGCGAAACGTGAGAAAACGAAAGTACGATGGCCGGGGTCGCTCTCTCGCAGATCGATAGCAGCCGCGCGAGCGGCTTTTTCGTCGTCGTCAACGTTGCCGCTGCCGTCGTCGTCGCCGTCGTTCTTCCTGCCGCCGTGCTGCGCGAGCTTGCGCGGTGATGTCATATATTCGGCCGAGTTTACGCATGTTTGTAAACAGGCCGAGCGAAAGAGACGCGCGATGCGGGAAGAGAAGGAGACGAGAGGCGGATGCAAGAGGGTGAACGACGGAGAGGAACGTCTATTCAGGGCTGTGGGTTTTCAGGCGGACCCCTTTATTTGTCGAGATTCGTGCACCTGCCGAAAGACTGTTAATGACGGTGGAGACTGCAGTCGGAATCGATGCTATATAGATAACGATAAGGTTAACGACGCTCTTTGTCTTAATTTCAGAATTGCATTGTTACGTTTGTTTAAGAAAAAGTAAACGTCATGTCGAGAGAAAGACCCGATCCATCTCTCGTACGTTCGCATCTCGGAAATGAATCTTCATGTACAAATATATTATATAATACTAATATTATTCATTAAATATTTTTATATAAGTTATACACTCTATGCAGCCGCTAAAATGCCCGGACTAAAAGCAAGCGTCTTTGTTAGCTCTCGGAATACATAAATCGGAAAAAATGCAATCTCGCTCTCGCGTTGCATTCGCAAATGTAAATGGAAGAAAACGAGCGAGAAGAAACGTTTGCGATCGAAACGGCCGGCTCCCACGTGGCTCCAGCACTGCAAGCTGGAGCACTGCGCAGACGTCTCGCCGCGCGTACACCTTCCTCGTGTATAACTCGGCTTTGTCGAGTCTCGGTTGCGTCGCTCTCTCGTTTTCTCGTACGCGGCCGTGACGTCACGCGTTGCAAGTTGAGCAGACAAGAGAGAGAGAGAGAGAGAGAAAGAGTGAGAAACCAAGCCGGTATTAAGTACGAGAGAGAAGCGGTAGTCAGGCCACAAGAGGGGGAACAGGGGGAAGGGACGAACGAGAGGTGCTATACCGGGTGTACGAAGTAGCATGTTGATTAATTCGATGAATTTCGATCTATCCTTGATGAGGGATTCGATTGGGAATTGGCGAAATTATTTGGCGATCGAAAATTTAGAAATAACATTTAAGAAGTTTAAAATTTAAAAAATTAATAAGATTTGTGAGAAGTTTAAGAAATAAAGACTCGACGTTTAGTCCAAGCTCGCGTAAATTGATGACGGGAAACTCTCGTTTCTCATTCAACTCTGTATCTGACAAATTTATATAACGCAGAACGTAACGGCAGTCTCGCGTTAAATTTTTATCGAAAGTAAAACCGATTCGAAATTCGTTCCCGAATTGCGGTTAGAAATTGCATCCGGTGACTATGGGACACCCCGTACGCGGAACGGTGCGTCGAGCACGCACGGCTGTTACCATACGCACGCGATGACGCCGTCATCCGTGTGTGGCCGTTGCCGCCGGCGAATTTCGGAAATATTGGACAGTGTACACGTCAGTTCGACAGCGCCTCCGGATTCTACGAACGACTACAATGCGTCTCACGATGCGCGCAGATGCTCTCGTGACACGCGTCTAACGTCAAGTACCAAACGAGTCTCTCTTAATTTGACGTTAAACATAGTCGTTATTTTAGATGAACGAGAACACAGGCTGTCGCATCTGACACAACGCCGAGTACAATATACGCGAGTATATATATTATATACAGAACAGAAAATGCATTTATCTATTCCTCTATGTTATTATAATAATTTTTATTTTTATAATAATTATTATAATTTTCAATGATGGTGAAGAGATGTGCAATTATTAATTTTTATTCCCTAAATGCCACACATTTTCATATCCGCGGGAAAATTGTCATTTGCGGAAAAAAAAATTATTTCCTCAGCTGCGTAATAGCAGGGTGACTCAGAAGCATTTCTGAGTCACGTGTCAATATATTACATCGTATGTATCATACTCGGTGTCTATCGCAATAATCGTCTATAACCGTTACCGCTTAACAATTCGTCCTCGCTGTTATACGAACTCGTGATGCATTTCGCAAACGAGATCGTGACGACTCGCCGACGCTTCTCACAACCAGTCCTCCAACTGCTGTGTGCAGACTTTGTGTTTGCTCCCATAATTTTTTTTTCTTCCTCTTCTCTCTTTTCCGCCCGCGCCGTCCGACGGCCTTTCTCCGCGCGCCGAGAGGACCGCGCGTCGACACTCCTTTGAGTCGTTCTGTCATATACCGATCAGCCGTCCTCCACCCCGCTTGTTTGCGTTTCGTCGACCGGCATTGGTGCACTCTCCGCGATTCACCAGTGCACCGTCTCTGCATGGATTTCTCCGGGGCCGAATTCAGGCCAGCCTGCAAGTTACCGATCCGTCTCTGCCGGCTGTGTTGATTTTACGATGGTTAAAGATGATAAATAAATGAATCTCTTTCTCACGACATTCAAGAAAGGTGAATGTCTTCTTCGTGAATCATGATGTGGACGAGAGAGGCAGAACTTTAAGAATTTTAATTTGATATTAAGATGCTTGAAAAACCGCGTCGAATTATTGTTTGGAAAGAATTTGCTCTCGTTACAAAACGCTATTATCAACTGTTTATGTACGATGTTGTACTAATTGTATATAAACTAATTGTATTTACATTATGTTTTATATATATGTATGGTACATAATTGTGTTTAATGTATATAATAACAAAAAATATTTACAAATTTCAAATATGAAAAAATCTTATTGCGACGAGAATTATCGCTAGCTTTGAATTGTTACGTCTCGCTTCGTCTCAAGCTAGAGCTATGCGCAATTCATCGTAGACTCGCATGCAGAAATTGGTCGTTCGTCACTATGGACCCTTTCACATTGTGTTTGCGATTCGAGGGTTGTACAATATATAGTTCTATATGCGAGCAACACAAATTGTCACATTGTTGATTCGTAGTGATTCGCGGGCGGTTCGATTTTGCCGAAAAACCGCTCCACGGGCGAATCGGCACGAATGGTAAACAAGGAACGCGAATTCGATGACTCTGCCTATTCAATCTGCTGTTCGCGAATCTCAAATATACAAACCACGAGCTACAAAAGTCGAGAGCCGCGCGGATCGCGCACAGTATGATGTTAGCTAGTTGAAGATGAGATCGTTCGAATTCGCCGTGGAATCCGTAGCTATCACATTTGTGTCGTCGATTTGACGAACGAGCGGGCGAGAAGAGGAGGTCTCGTACGGTCACGGCGACGACACGGTCGTTTCGTACATCGGACTGGAGAACGGACTCGTGCCGGACTCGTTCGAGGTGCTGATCGCTCGCCGCTTTCTCAGCTGATATTCCTCCTTCTGCTGCTGCTGCTGCTGCATGATCTGGATCATTTCTGCCTCCTGCACGATCGAGAATATGTTGGTCTTGGCGATATTCAGGTTGTAGGGGCTCAGTGACTTCAGGGTCGGCGCGATGCCGGCTAGGAAGGCGTCGACGGAGTGGGACACGGACAACGCGACCTGGAGCTTGGGCTCGTCACTTTCTGCGGAATAATTCGATCTCGTTGATTCAGGGGTGGTAAATCCTGAATCGCTCTCGACCGGGATTTCTCGTCCAGACTGCTTGCCCCTCATTGCCGTTGGTTCCTCGCCGTGCGAGTCCGTCTCGTTCACCACGGAATTGGCGAACGGCGGCCTCGTTTGCAAATCGCGATTATCATCGCGCTTCACCGGCGGCTTCGCCTCTTCCTCCGTCAACACCTCGTCGCCCTCCCTAATAGGAGGACCCGAGTGATTGGGGTCTCTCTCCCTTATGAATGGCAGCAGGAAGGTCAACTTGTTCTCGTATTTGTATCTCACGTTCCTGGGCTGTCCGGTCAGTCCGCTTCTCGTGACTCGTTTCTTCAGGGATTTCCGGTAGTTGTCCCTGATGTTGCTCCACCGCGTCTTGCACGTTATCGCTAAATCAAGCAACAACGTGTATTTTCGGATTATTACGTGTAACACGGGGCTTATATCTCGAGGATCTGCCTTTCACAAACAGGCGGTTTCGCTCTCAAATTTCTTAATTAAATACACGTTTACGCTTCGACTCTCTACTCAATCTACATCGGAATGAATCATATATAGCCCCGACTAATTACGTAGATGAGTAATAGAAAGTTTGCGACTATTAATGGTGTTCAGAATTAAGTGACGCATAACTTGTTACGTAAATTCGAAACTAGCCCCCGCTACCATCGCGTTTAATACGGAGTGTCCTAACGCGAGGGATTGTACAAAGCGTAATCGATAGTTTACCTGAGTGCCCGAGGTGTTGCGATATCTCGTTCCATACGCATTGCTTGTGAGCCGCGTCGGTGTACCTTTTGTCGGAAACATCGTACAACTCCACGTGCTGCCGCACGCGCTCGATAAGCGTCTCGTCGTCCATCGGAGATAAATTTACGTATGTACGCGTATTTTCGAGTTACAGTTGATTAAAACACGCGCCGAGGCTCCAAATCGAATCGCACTAAAAAGCGACAATTTAACGCGCCGGTACGAATCGCATCGGCGTTATCCGCATCGGTTCACGGAACGGACGTTACTAACAACACAGCGGTACCGCACCGCTAGTCGGAAAGCTTTGTAGCAACTCACCGCGGCCTGACACGGACTGGCACGGACGTGCAAAATCCAGCACGGACCGGCACGGACTTAACACCGAACGAATTTAATTAGCGCAAGCGATTAACGCTATTATGGCTGTAATGCTAATTTATTCCTTTTTCCTTTCAATCATTCGTCTTTGAAAAGATACAGTATATAATTAACGTATATAATTAACCGCCGAAAAGATACAGTATAAAATATACGTATATAATTAACCGCCGAACCGCATTACAAATTTTTAATATAATAAGAATATGCATAAATAAAGTTTTCTCGAGAATTCGTTGAAATGTTTCGTCATCGAGGTTTCAAACGTTTCTATTACTTTATATATATATATATATATATATAATCTTTATAAAAGGACAAGTGCTTTTTTTAGAACAAGTGCTAATATATAGAAACATCAGAAACTAGTATTGAAAGATATAAATAAAAACGGAGTATTTTTATACAGAAATCATATAATTTTGTCAAAGATTATCAATTGTCGACAGAATTGTCTCAAGTGTCTGAATCATCTGAAGTGAAGTCCGCAAAACGAAATGCGAACCATACATAATAACCGATTCGTCGAAATTGATTTAAGGAAATAATAAATGTCAAGGCTAAAACGTTCGCCGTTATATTGAATTTCTGTTCTCTTTCCACGAATTGACTGGCATGCCGCGGTCAATGTTTACATTAGACACAGTTCACCTAATTGTTGTCATTCGCGCAGCGAGACTTGAGTCGAAAGGTAGTGACGCGGGCCTTTACGAACGATTAGCGTTTGTCGCCGTGCGCGCGATTGGTCGACTCCTACAATCAATGATTCGTAAGCGAGGCGACGGCTTGTCGAGGAAGATAAATCTATTCTCACTTTTTTGGCAAGGAGAACACGGGAATTGTAAATTATTCAATATTCATCCCTCTCACCTCGTTCCGCAATCAATAATTATTTATGTTCAAATACCCGACCGTACCTCCATATTCTGAATTTTTCATCAATTTAAATCTAATTTGCCCGGCATTCTTTATACAATTGAGTGAGTGCGGTGTACACGAATCGCCGATCGCGAGGGTTTCAAATAATGAAAAGCCGCGACGAACTCGTCAATAATACATGAATTCCACAAAATTTATTCGCTTCGAAATGTATCACGCACGTGTGTGCAATGCTGAATTTCGGATAGACCCCCTTGCATTTTAATTAGCTGTTAATTTGATTCTATTAATCGCGTCGTATCGCGCAAATCGGGGCAAAACTGATGCCGACGCAATTTTCGAGTCTTTCGATTATTAAACGAAATATTACGGGATATAAAATAGATGGATTCCACCCCCGGGCGTCACGTCATTTAATCAGTAAATGCAATCGTAAGTAAATAGTTAAAATAAAAATTTTAATTATCAAATTCTCGACGTGTACAATCGATGTTTACAAACGAAAAATTTCTGCCATTCGCCTGTTCGTTATGCTCATTCGCGAAACATTGCAATTGTATTCCATTTAATTTACTTGATAAAAAAATTATTTTTAATTTAAATTTTTAATTAATTATTAATTATATTTATTCCTATCGTATATTTCTATATATACCAATTTTATTCTAACTTTTCACACAGCTCATTCATTAATTACAGTAATTTCAAAATACCGAGCGTTCGAAAATGTTAAGTATACACTGTTAAATCTATTGTGTCAAATTGAACCTTATTTAAGTCGCCACTGCTCCCACTTAATAAATAATTATTTTTAACTAAAACAATATAGTTACTTTTAAATAAAACAATAGAATTTAACCTAAAATTGGGTTAAAATTGAACTGTTTTAAACTATTTAACATTTTCGTAAAAAATAACTATTAATTATTAAATAGGAGCAGTGGTGACTTAAATAAGGTTCAGTTTAAAATTATAGATTTAACAGTGTAGCGTAACTTTACAAACGTACATAAATACGATGCGCATGCGAAATTTCAAACCGGTCTTATATATATTCCACTCGAGAACAGCGCCGAGGTCGAATATTCGCGCCTTAAACGGGACGGGAGGCTTGGCTTAATCTAATCGCATTCGTCGACGAGTGCACGTCGGCTTCGTGGCACCGCGCGCGGGTCTGAAAAAAAGCGGCGAAAGCGGGCGCTCGCCAAAGGTGGACGTTGCACCGTTGCTTCATTTTCTCTTATTTTTCACCGTTTGACTTTCGGGTCGGGCCGATCGACCGGCCAGGCTCGCGCGCGCCTTCGAGACCGACGTCCTAAAGTGCATATTGCACCGGTCCGCCTTAATGGCGGGATGGCGTGACGGCTTGCTTGCGGGCGCGCGCGCGGGGTGGCGAACGAAACGAAACGAAACGAAACGAAACCCGGCGGGAACGCGATGTCGCGTGTCCCGCGCCGTGCGTTTCGCGGTCGCGTGTGTCGCGGATATTACACGCGATCCCTGGACCCCGTCCGAACTAAATGTCCCGCCGCACGAACCGGGCCCTCTCTCGCGAGCTCGCCTCTCACTTGCACTTTTAATTTCTTCGCTCGGTCACGCCGCGACTCCCCGTCGTCGCTCGGTCGTAAGGTGCTTACAATGCAAAATCGTAACGGAAGATTGCAGATTCCTGATCTCGATTCCTTGATGGAGATCAGCGTAGCACCGAAATGTTCGCGATTTGTTTTAATGTTCCTCATTTGACAAAATTTTCATTTTCATATTCCCTCATTTGATTTAGTTCTGTATTATTGACACACACCTCTAAGTCGTTTTTCTACATAGTTTTTGTTTTATTTTAAATTTGAATGTTTTATAGTGTAACAGGTACGAGAAGAGCTAAATAATAGAACATTTTGATCGGGTTTCAGTATCAGGTTACAAATAATTTCGGAGTTGAACGTTCGAAGATTAAATTTCCAAACGTTGTGCACACACCGGAATAGAAATTTTGCTAGATCATCGGCCACTTGCCGATCGGAGAAGAATCGATTCCTAGTGACTCAAATGGGCTGTCATTAAAATAATAGCGGTAGTTTCGGAACACCTTGTGATAGATTTTATCTCGCGGTATCCCGGAGATTTCAACTGTGTACAATTTGCTTTTTAATTTTACGACGTGCAATCTTATCTGCGGCCCAGGAAAGCTGTAGGATATTATTAGACCTTTCTATATGCCTCGTCTCTTTTCCCAATGGTTAGACGTTAGGAGCTAGCATCGCCGGTGTGTATATGTGTCCCAAAGTTAAAAGGCGAAACTTCTTAGGCGAGCAGGGCGCCGTAGAGTTCCCAGCCCACCGCGCGCACCACCTTGCGCAGTCTCGCGTATCTCCCTTCGGCTGAGAACTTTGATAGCATACGTCGACATGTTCTCCTGTTGCGTGGGAAAGTGCTGCATAATGACACGGTCATTCTTTGCACGTCGGGCGAAGCCAATAGCGGATGCGCTGTCGGAAAGTCCATCAAGACGGTGGCGGGTAACTGCGTGCTCGCCGTCAAGATTTCCTCTCGTTTTACCCCATGAATTCTCCCTGCCATTAACGAGCGGTAGTCGTCTGTATATATATACACGCGTCTTCGTGTAAAATTACAGAAACGTATTATCCGCGCTTCGTCGCGGCGCGGCGGGATTGGAAATAATTCGATTCCGTTAAAGCCGCGAATCGTTATATACGAGTCAGTTTCTCATTTCATTAATTCGATCTCCTCTCCATTCATTCGGCGCGGCTATATCCGGAACATGACTTTGAATCCACTCGCGAATAAATTACGTTAGCGATTTCGGCTTTTGTTAACACGTTCGAAATAGGAGACCGCCGTTATCGCGATCGTTAATCCGATATATATATATTAATAGCAGGTGAGATTTCGTCATTCGCTTGCGTCGAAATTTTTCCGGAACTCGTGGAAGACGCCGATGCACGGAATGTCGATTCTTTGTTCCCGGTCGCGTTGTGCCGTTAAGCGGCTCACTGCTGAAACACCTGACGTCGCCAGGCGGTCGCCTGGTCAGGCTGGCGGGCAACAAGCAGCCAGCCAGCCAGCCAGCCCAGCCAGCCAGCCAGCCAGGCAGGCAGCCCGCGTCGTACGTAAGTACATACCTGTGGCAGGTGAATCGAGTCAGGTGCTCCAACAGATGGGCGCCTTTACTCGAGAAAGCGTTATAAAAGCGGTCTATCATAAATGTGGGTTACTAGCTATGACTAACTCCTGACGGTAGAACGAGCTTACGCTCGCGCGCGTCTGTAATTCGTGAATTACTTTCTCGCTCGTTTTCACCCAATAACACCTTCAAAAAAAAAAAAAAGTTTGAGATTCCAATCTTTGGGTGTCTCAATGTATTTATCCGGGAACCTGTAGGGAAGACGCGGTGTTCGCGCAAACTGCGCAGAATTTCAAAAGGAGTTTCGTGAAAGACTAGCGTATATGAAAGACTAGCGTATAAGAAAAAATATGGGAGCCATGTAGCGTAACATGAAACATTTTTATCCTCTTTCTCGCGGACAATTTTTCGCACACTTCAGCGATACGTAAATTGGTTCAATTTTGAACTTTATTAGATCTCGACTACGTGATGGAGGGCCGAGGGCTTGAATCTTTGGTTCGCCAATCCGAGAAGGAGGATTCTCATCGCGACGAAAGACCGCTCGAACGTCCTTCGACGGCACGTTTCCGCACGTCTCCGGGAGGAAGGAGCGTAACGAGCGTGTCTTCTTCTCTTTTCTTCATTCTTTTCGTTTCACGGACACGTGGCGCGAAGCATGCGGCGTATGCATGCGAACGAGCCCCGTATATATACGCGTACGTAAGAGCTGAGCCGCATGTGCAGTCACGTGTAAGAATGGGACAGCGAAAACGTGACGCGATTATGCATTCTCGCTACGTCGTCATTTCTAGCTTGGTGCACGAGCCGGCGACGAGATGTAGCGGGTCTCCAGCGTGTGGTATGGTAATTTTATTAAACG